CCATACAGATGAAATCAAGCAGGGAGTTTCATATAAATACTTGGGTGTAATGATTGACCATCTGCTGTCATGGAAGGATCACATTGAATATCTGTGCAAAATGAAAAAGCAAAGAATTTATTTTCTCCGCCGTCTGGACCAGAAGCTGCTGTGACGCAAGTCAAATTTCAGACTTGATCTGACCAATAAAGTATTATCGTATCGTATCGTATAATACACCCTGGGATTGGACTAATTACCAATTAATTACTAACTAATAAACTAACGAAATACATATCTTTCATTACATGCACACAGATGTTTAGGTGTTTAAATGTACTACAGTTATTATCCTTCAGTTGAAATCGATAAATCACAAATAGATATCATTTAATTTGAAGACTTCAACATGGATTTATAATTGAATAATTAACTCACTGTAATCCCATCACGTTCCATTTACTCATTGCTGTTTTTAATGCAAATTGATTTTAATCAACATATTCACAGTTTCCAATTTGTCTCTTCCATTGAGCCCATGAATTAGGCGCACATCTATGATCTATGCACTTGAATTACAACGATACTTGCCTGTTATTAAACCTGTGCATAGGTCTGTCAGGATAATTAATTTTGTTGGACGATACATTTTTTCCGGAAAATATTGCGATAAACGATAATATTGTCGGCACCGTTGTAAGACCATTTAGAACACTGACATAATGATAATATAATTCCAATGCATCCTTTTTTATTGAACATTCAACATAGAAAATTAAATGTGAAATAATATTTATATATAATAAATTATATATAATAAATAAAACAAATTAATGAAATTATAACAAATTAATTAAATAAATCACACACAACCCAAACAATAAATTAAATAGACTCAGGCTGGAAAACAGAGCTCTCTTGTGGCCAAAACACGCAATTGCATTTGTGAAAATGCAGTAGTAAAACTTTTTTTTTTAAATAAAGTAAGTCGGGAAGGTGGGGGCTCTCCATCTCCAGCTGCCGTGTTTGCTCCCAGCTGGGAAAACGGAATGAGGTTGTTGTGTTTCAGGTGCAGTTTAAAGGAGACCTATCATGCTATATTTGAATAATATATTGTAGGGCCATACCTATATAAGGTATATTAATACGTTTTTTTTCTTCAAAATACCAAACAGATCATGCATTTTAGCCATGCCTCATTTTGATCTATTTTCCTCTCCTCCACCCTGTCTTTGCATGCGCTGCAGCTGACCACGCCCCCCTGCAAAGGAGGGGGCCGAGTTACGAGTGTCATGTTACCATGCTGTTACCATGCCAAGGCAACCTCTCATTCCCCTGATTGGTGGAGAGTTTGCCATATAGGCGGAGCTCCTCGTCACTGACGTCACACTATTTTCAAATCTGTATCAGTCTGTATCAGATCCATTGCAGCCACGTTTTTAGAGATTTGGGTATGGAAGAAAAGAGAGACGGTTGTGTTTTCTGACACATGGTGAGTTCCCTGACACACCGGGGACACATATTCATGTATAAAAGACATACAAAAGTGCATTTTGCATGATAGTTCACCTTTAAAGTTGGTTGTTTTGCTCGTTTTTGTTGCTACCTACAAATGCAACAGACCGGCTCATTCAAGTCCGTAGGTTCGCCTCGTTGATTTGGCTTAAATCCAAAATATTGGAATTAGGTTTTGCAACCAATTCCATTCAACTTCAAATTCCCCTCGAGTAAGTCACGCGTTGTCGCCTAGTCTCTATATTATTCATTTGGCTGCTAAACTGTTGCACGCTGAGTGTCCTGACCTGGCTGTGTGTGAGCCCTGTGTCACAATCCTAATGTTATGTCACGTTTTTTGTTTAGTCTGTCTTGTTTTGAGTGTTATTTTGCTGTTCTGTTCCCACCTGTGTCATGTTATCCTGTTGTTAGTTTCCCTGGTGTGTCTGATTGTCTCATTGTGTTCACCTGTTGCCCTTGTGTTTCTGCCTCCCCTGCCCGGTTGTTTCTTGTCTCGTGATTACCCCTCCCTGTATTTAGTCTTGTTTCTTACTGTGCCCTCATGCCCGGCCTCCTGAGTTCACCCGCTGTGGCCTTCGCCCCTTTTTGAACTCTGCCTTGCCCCCGGGCCGTCCGCCCGAGACCTCCTCCTCGAACTCTGCCTTGCCTCCAGGCCGTCCGCCCGAGATTCCCACCATGAACTTTGCCTTGCTCCCGGGCCGTCCACCCAAGACCCCCTCCTTGATCTCTGCTTTGACCCCGGGCCGTCCGCCCGAGTCCCCCTTCTCATCTATAATAATTCCAACTCAATCCAACATATGTCATTTATAAAATGTTTTTATTTTCATGATCTGTTGTTTCCAGTGGCGTTTCTATATGTACAAAAGTGGTGGGGAACGAACATCTTAGATGTGTATATAAGCAGAGTGTCCATTAGCCGAAATCTAAAATGCTCCGGTCAAAATATCGCTTATTGTTTAGGTGTCCTTGGACACTCAGGCAGTCATATCATTAGCTAGAACTAGCTAGATCTGATCGATATGGACATAAACGCGACTGAAGTGTAATCGGACAGGAGAGAGAGATCAGAGATCAGCTGCTGCTGACGGATAAAAAGAGTAGGGGTGCACCGAATGGGAAATTCTTGGCCGAAACCGATACCGAAAATAGGAAACAGTTGGCCGAAAACCGAATGCCGAAAGGCCGAAAATGATTAATAGAAATATATATATATATAATGTATACATTTTTTACCAATGTTGTTCAGCTGCCTGATTATGGAAAAATAAATGATTATGGCAAAACTTAACTTAAATAATAATCACTATTATGGGTCCATAAAACATTTATTCAGCACTTTTGAATG